TAATTAGATTTAACCATGCAAAAGATTTTATCTATTTATCTCTATTTGTAGAATAGTGAAAATTAAACTTAATTTAAATAAGATTATGAAAATCTAACTTTATTTAAATAGAATTAGGAAAATCTAATTATTTGGAAACATGTAGTATCATTTAATTGAGATAACAAAAATTAAATCTAATTTAAATATGATTAAAAAATCTAAACGTAATTTAAATAAGATTAAGAAAGTTTAATTATTTGGATTTATATGAAATTATTCAATATCAAATAATATAAAAAAAATAAATATGAGATAAAATAGATAAATATTTGATAGTTTTGTTGACATTCTCAATTTTATTTTATCATTTCATGGGGCTGACATAATTTTGTTTTCCATATTTTTCGTGTTTCATTTGTGGTAAAAATAATTCAAATACAAATATGGGAATACATTTATCAACATTTTGAAAAATAGATATCTAAGTAGTAAAATAGGGAAAATAAAATCTAAAGGTATACTTAATTTAAATATGAATAAAGTAATTTGATAAGATGTGATAAAATTTAATTCTATATCAAATAACAAAAGCATCAAAGTTAATAAATAAATGTTATAATTTTCAATTAGTAGTTTTTCAATAACGTTGTCACTTTTATTTTATTTATTTTCACGGGTGATCCAATTTTTTTTTGTACAACTAAATTTTGTTTTGCACAAATTTATAAGAGATCAAATTACAGAACCCCCGCATATATGCGGATCCTTCATCTATAATGAAATAAACTATCTTATCAACCATATCATAATTGTTTAAAATATATCCAAATTGTTTTTGGTAAACTCTTTGTTTGATGAGAAGTAGTCAAGTGTAATTTTCCATTTGCGTGTATAATATAGGGATTAAAAATGAGAATGTGAGAAATTGCAAACCCTTTTCGCATTCTTTAGTAAATATAATTCAACGACTTGGTCTTCTTCGATTGACTTATTTAAACAAGTGAAAAACTCTTCAAACTTCACCTCTCTCATTTTGTTCTTCCATGGATGATTCAGTGGTCAGAAGAAGTCTGGACAAGCTCCATGTCAAAGTAGAGTTCGACTCACCCGATCAAGAAGATGATCAGACCGATCCATTTAACCAACAACAGAGTTATGTAACCGTTCTGAAAGAAGAAGATATTTGGAGGAGTATGGAAAAAAAGATTCAAATTGTTACAGATGTTTCTTCCCTCTCCAAAGCTGAAGCCACACTTTTGCTTTCTCACTTTAACTGGTAACTGCGTCCTAATATTATTCCTCTAAAGATTCGTATTTTTTTGTCTTACAAGAAATTTTTTTTTTTATCTCTCTCTTTGTTTCTTTAATTTCATATATACTCAGGGATGTTAGTAAATTTGAAAATTAATGGTTTGATGGCGCTACAAGTGTTAGAGAAAGCGTTGGCATATTGGAGAGGTCACTTGATCAATCTCCTAATGACGAGGAAGTAATTAATGATCTTCGAATCCAAATGTTTCTGATCTACGTTCTTTTTTGGTATGATTCTATAAGTTTAACACAAGATCTCATCTTAATGTTGGTATATAGTTCTTTTGTGGAGGCTGTAACGAAACCCGCCCATTCGAGGAGTCTGCATCGGTCTCTTGTGGTCATCATCTATGCAGTAACTGCTGGACAAGTATGTATTATTCGAATTGTTACTCTAATTCTTTGTTTATTATAATTATGTATAATGTATTGACATGTAATTTTATAGGGGATATCAACAATATTTTCAATAAAAGTTCAGAATGGAACGTGTGGCTTAAATGTCCTTACGTACCTTGTCAAGCTTCTGTTGGTCGAGATATGATTGAGAGTTTTGCTTCTGAGGAAGAGAAGACCAAGTACGATCGATATCTCCTTAAATCTTTCGTTGAAGACAGCAAAGCGGTATATATAGTCATAAAGAGAACCTTAGATAGATCTTAGAGATGAACCATTTGTTTGCTTAAAATGTTTAACTTAAACTTTTTCTTTTTATTTGGCATTAGATGAAGTTGTGTCCTCGTGCTGCCTCGGGGCGTACTTGCGCGATTGATCTTAGTCCTGATGATTCTGGAAATTTCACTGTCTACTGTGTTTGTTTGCTTAAATTCTGCTGGAATGTGAGTTTACTTGGATTTGAATCTTTGTTTTTGTTTTGTCTTCAATCCTGTTTCTATTACTGTGTAATTGAATCTTTATCTTCAGTGTAGCAAGGACGTTCATAGTCCTGTGGACTGTAAAACAGCTGCAAAATGGTTAGCAATGACAATGTCTGGTTACCAAAACCCGAACAGGTATAACAAAAAACCGGTGCCACTGGTTTTCTGATTTCTATAAACCTTGAATCTTTCAAATGTCACAGTATTTTTTGGATTGTGATTTTAGGCCACTGGCCAATTCGGTGCCTTGTCCTAAGTGTAAGCAAAGGATCATAGAAAAAGAATACGTGATCGAAGAATTTTTTTCACTGAAGATGACATGCTTACCTTGTAACTACGATTTCTGTTGGTATGTTATCTCTGATTACTTAATTTCTTGTGATTAATTATTATTACATTTAAGCTTTATTTTCAATGAAATTTACTCTGCAGGCTCTGTCGTGGTGACTGGACTGAACATTGGGAAGCAACTTGTAACAATGATGCTGTACCGGTACTTTATCTGATCTTTAAATTTTTAGTTTTATGGTTTGTGTATTAACCAATTTCTCTTTTTTTTCTTCTTTTAATCTTTTCATATAATTTTAATTTTTCTAATGTTTTGTAGTCCGAAGAGATTGAACAACAGTTGGAAATGGAAGAATTTTCTGTGCATAGATACAATGATTGTTATAAAAATTGGGATAGTAATGATTTGGTAATACATATGCACTTACTATAATTCTGAACTTCAAATCCAATATTATTCCACTTATTGATTTGTTTAGTTGGTCTTTTTTGGGTAAATACAGTTGATGCAAAAAGCAATAGCAAAGCTGCAGCACCTACGCACTGTTGATGTAGGAGACCTTTTTCTATGTTTGTCTTATTTACTCTCTTG